CAAAGCAATACAAACCATGTACTTCTGTACTAGTAAGAAATGTGTCAAACTGATTTTAAGACACAGGGTAATCTAAAATAAATAAATGATATAAACTTTGCCAAAGGAGGAGGGAAAGAAAAAAGAATATTTGCTAATAATTTGTTATATATATATTTCTAAATTTATGTTTTTAATTTGGGTAACACATCAACATAGTTAATCCAACACATCCTTTAAGAGTCTTCAGGTTCCCCAAGTGTGAAGTATCTTTGTTAGTCAAAAATATTTTGACTTATTTTTACAAAAATGTATTTAATAGAAGCATAGAATAAAAATTAATGAAAAATACCCACAAACTTCAATCTTCAGCGATATTACTGGCATGAATAGATTTAACTCAGACAAAGATAAAACAAACTGACTGAATAAGAAGCTAATGCAAATGCAGAACATTGTCTGTTGCTGCGACACTGAAAACGTACATGGACTAGTTTTTCATCCGTGTTTAGTACACGCAATTGGAGCCTGATTTGTCAAAACAACTCTGACACCTTAAACATGTGATCAGATTCTCAACACACACAGATGTCAAGTGGAGTTCAGGTCTTATGAAAATCTGGCTGCTTAGATAAGGCACCTAAATGGCAGCTGCTGAGTGCAGAATTCTTTTCAAAATCTGGCTGTAATATTCTGAATAAATAAATCAAACCTTTTACATTTTTTCTAAACACCATTTGTACACAAAAATAAATATTGCTACTGGTAATTTAAAATATTTTATAAATTAGTGAAGGGCAAATATATTAATTACATGATACAATAACTAATATGGGATTTGAGAAAACTAAATTCTGTGTACTTAAAATATTTTGCCAAGTATATGAAACCTGGGAACTAACACAGCAGCACTGCTCCTTTATGTAAATCACACACTGTTCATAAATACTGTCTTTGCCATTAACAAATTTTAAAATAATCCAGGAATATAGGAACTTTGAAAGCTAAACAGCGCATTTTTAGTTCAATATATACAACTTTCAGATGCAGCGCAGACATCAATAACACAAAATTAATTCCTATGCATCCATGATACCTACATCTGTACCACATCATTCACACACCAGCCATCTGGAACCCTCCACTTCTGCACCGCACAGCCTTCAAATACCAAAACACTCGTACTCAGAACCATTTCAGTTCCACGATTTTCCTCTGTTATGTTTATTTTCAAAAGAGACAGCGCTGTACTTTAGTTTATTATTCTTTTGTGCAATGCTGTGGCTATTTAAAATATGAAACACTGGCTGGGTATTATGCTGATTTATAAAAACCAAGTTTGAATTTGATTACGGACAGCACATTAATTTATAGTGTATTGTTCAAGCACGTACTACTATAATACAATACAATCTTAATGTTGCGGAGTAAAAACGTACTCTAAAAAGTATACCCAAATCAGACAATATTAAAATCAGAATACAAGATGTACCTTCATTTTCGTACAATGCACAGGAAAATACTGCCATCTTCCAGTGTCTTGAACATAGAATAAACTTTCGTATATTAATTGAATTAAAGCTCCTGGCTGTCAAAATAATTACACTCTGTTCACAATACAAGGTAACTGACTTGGGTAAATTATTAACTTTTAAACAAAAAAAGTGAAAAATATCAAGCAGAAATTTGTTCATAAAATTGATGGACTACATCCAGCTGTCAAGTCAAAACATGCTTTAATGCATGTTTCCTTATCTCAAACTGTATTCTTTCGAATTTAGGCTAGAAGCTAGCTAATCATTTTCTGTGGGAATTAGCCTTATCTTATTTATTTTTTACAGCTTACTTACTGTACTTCTTATGATTCTCCATTTTGTTGGACATGACAACAAACTGCTCTTGTAAAATCTAGGTAGTGCTAAAGATAGCAAACTTTCATTTACTTATCAACACTGAAAAAAGGATGTAGAACTTTGACTTCAAATGCTAAGAGGTTGGTTGCTATTTTAGTTCCTGAGCAGCTCTAATGGGTCCAGCATTAGGCCAGTCACAGCCAAACATGATGTTGTTGTTATTATTTTTTAACTTGGGCCCTACACTTTGCATTTTGTGTCACAAATAACACATCCATTGTGGCATAAACGGGAAGAGTACTATATGTGCACCTGATTTAAGGCCCCATATAATGACAAATGACCCATACAAGTGTTCCACGCACAATATCAAAAACTTATGGTTTATTTAAATTTAACAAGGCTGGACTGATAATGTGCTGATTGTGGGCCCCGGTTGAATGCTGCAGTGTGGGTCAGCCCTAGGACTTTTCCCAGTGTGGTCCTGAGGCTCATGATGATCTTGAATTCCCCCTGCACTGGCAAATAGTAACCGTGTGACTCAAATCTGATCCCTAATTTCAACGGGGTGGCACACTTGTTGGGATTGGGGAGCAAATCCCATCATGCCATTGAATGAACATGTGCCAGAAGCCTTGGGTACACTGATGAAGCTCAGTTATGAATCAAATACTGTAATAAACAGCTGTATAGATCAGTATATTTTTGTCCATTTAGTAAATAAAAATGATGGATTTGGCTAAGTGCTATGCAATGTTTTAAAAATCTGAAAATTTTAATTCCATTTGCAATAAAAATAATTGTAGTCCGCCTGAAGAACTTTCAGCTTATGATCATTTTAAACTATGACAATTTAGATGTGTGCAACTACAGACTGATAAGGTAACTTAGAGGTACTTCCTTCATATGCTAAACTATAAGGCATTTTTACACTTACAATTTATATAGCCATTTTTACTGTCTCAGAAGTTGGAACCAGGTTCTTCCCGAAGGATTCAAATTGATATTGTGTTATATTTCCAAGTAGCAATTTAGTATACACAGAAAAGATGACTTACATTTTTCAAAGTTATGGTTCAGATTCTTAGTTTTTGTCATGCAATTGTACACACATTCTGTGTGATTAGGTTTCAATGCTAGTAAGTTTTGCAAAGTGCTCAAAGAAACTATGTAGGGCCAAAAATACATTTTCATATCCAATTGTTCCTGGATGTTTACATTTTCTAAAAGGGACTACAGTGCTTGCTCCTGTACTGTGTAGGACTGCTAGTGTTGGTCAATCCACAAAGATGTTTGCCACTTCAAATCACTGAAAATGCTTTGGCATCCCCACTCCCTCCCTCCACCTCTGTTCTGACTAAATTGTAAATTTGCTATTACATTCAGCCTAAATTATGCTTCATTTTATTTTCAGAGGTGGCTGCATTTCCTTCCTGATGTACATATTGGCTTCAAGTACACCAGAATTCATTTGGATGAAAAGCATTACATGAATCATAAATGGTTTCAAGCGGGGCCAGGGGAGGGAGACAAAAAAAAAAGTCAAGAGAGAGACAAGGTTGAGAGTATATATCAGCCTTTTACATAAAGTATGTTGTAAATTTCCTCCCCACAAAAAATTCCAAAAGCAAGAAATTCAGAATTAAGGGTAAGCTTTAAAGAAATCAAAACACATTTGAAGATTGAAATGCATCATCAAGGCACCCAAAACTAACTTTACACAGTACTGCAGAAATGCCACGATAAACAAACAATTATGATTAACGTGTTTTAATGTCTGTATTCCTAGATTAGATTAAACTGATTTTTAATGACATTCATTTTTCATTTTCTTCCCTCAAGCAATGAGGAGAGTGTCATGGGGGAAGGGTAGGGGAAAAGTAATATCACCATAGAGATACAAAGCTGTAGACAGCTTGGTTTCACTGGAAGTTTGCAATTCATATACTCCATTTCTTTACATTTTCTATTACTGTTTGGAATTCTTAAGTCAAACAGAAAAAGTTTACATACTCAGTCTGCCTTCAAAAAGGCTTTCCCATTTCATATGAAGTAAGTACAATTCTGTATTCAGCAGAACTACACTATTACTTTTCACTTGTAGGAATACCCTTTGGCTAAGAAAACATAAAATAAAATCAAGTTTAATTCAATTAAAAATAAAGTCCTTTAATTATAAAGGACTATGTACATACAGCATCAAAACCTTCTAGAAAGAGGATGCATGAGACAATAAGCATGTTTTAATAGAAAATACAGCTTTTGAAAGGAAAAAAAAATGAAAGTAGAAAATAGTATTTCAACTGTAAATCTTTTGCTGTTTAGATTTTTCTCAAACCCTTCCTGCTCATGAGCTTAAATGTAGTTTTTAATGCGTATAAAGTTATTGGGGTTAAATTTAACACAAAAATTGGGGTTTCTTTTAAAATCAGAGAAAACCAGAATCCCTGCTTATCACTGCCTTTTCTATGAAACACACTGTTATGTATTAGCAAATAATTCCCACTGTGTAGCCACAAGTAAACTACTTGGCCGGGGGGCGGGGGGAAGGTCTGGCTGAGTTTAGATGGGGATAATTTTGCTTTGAACTGCCAGTGGAATGGATGACCCTCTGAAGTCCCTTCTAACCTTCTTTTTCTTTATTCCAAGTCCGTTCAAATGTTTGGATCAGGAGTATCAAACATATGGTCTGCAGAATGAATCTAGTCCACAGAGCTTCTTTCTAGCCAGATAACTCACTCAGATCCATCCAGTAGTGCTTCTTGCTGTGGCCAGCACCCATGGAGGTTAATGCCACCCATAACCCCTACATTTCCAGCCCTGTCTGGATCTACCTGTGAGAAGCTCTGTGGGCTGGATCTGGCCCACACATTTACATTTAACACACCTGGTATAAGAGGACACTTACTGAATCAGCTTGTGAAAATAAGCTAATGCTTCAATTATAATTTTATTTTGAACTACATTAAAAAAGCTTGGACCATTTTAGGTTAACTGTTATATTAGAAGAGGAGTTGGAAAGCATATGTAGTATGTTCTAAACAGAAATAAAATTCTTAACTGGTCTCAGCTGCCTGCAATTTAGGGAAATTTAAAAAACGTCTCTGGCAAAACGGGAGAAAAGTGAATAAAAACCACATGATAAATCATTAAAAAAAAAATCACTTGTTCATTTTTAAAACAGCTTTTTATTGTAGATTGATAAGAGAGATAAATACTAAAGGATAACACCAAGCAAGTTACATTTTTTCTTCTTCTTTTGGAGCAATTATCCAAAGTGGTTGTGTCTGATGGTAGAGAACAGTTGCAACATATTTCAGGACATCTTGTTCTTTAAAACTGGGCAAAAAGATGGGAAATATTTAAAGTACTACAAATTAACTGAATATTTTTCCACTCTGACTTTAATTCCAAAACTGAACAAGTCCAAATGAAAGAAAGAACCATAACTAGTTCTATGCTGGAGATTTATATCAATTGGTGATGCACTTCAAGCAATATTTATTTGATTAAAAAGTTTATCCTTAATAACCTGAGACATCAATCCATGTATAGCTTCTATGGTGGTCTTGCAGCTGAAAAACAAGCATAAATTTATTGTTGGCTAAACACTGAAGTACCTGTCATTGTATTCTGAGTTATTCAGCTGTCTTAGGAGTTTGCGGTGCCCATAACCCCATGAATCTCCACAACTGTCCAGATGTGAAAAGTGATGCAAAGCAATTTAGTCACAGTTGCCAATATCTATTTGTTATTTTAAAAGGCAAGCTAACAAGATTTTGATATGTCGAGAACCAAATTTCATAGACTTCTTTTTTGTCCTACAGGGTTAGCACATTTCTAGCCTAAAAACAGAGGAAACAGAACTCCATCTGCTGGTGGTATCTGAGCAAGAGATTCCTGAAACAGAGATAATCCCTCTGGAAAAACAGTATTTTTTGTTGGTTTGTTTTGCACGCATTTGAAGTTCATGCCCAAGCCTTTCAGTTCCTTGATAATCAGTACTTCAGTTTCTATTCCAATTAGTGCATGGCACCCATGCTTGCTTTATAGGAAAGACATACTGAAAACATTAAGGCAACAGTTTACCCCTCTGAAAAGTATGTGCTAAATGCTTATATGTCAAACAGATTACAATGTGTCTGTGCAAAAGACTAGCCAACAGTATTACTTGCAACCTAGGTAGTTTAAGGGTACATAATGGTAAAGCAACGCATATTTAAATATGTGAAAAATCAGAACATAAAGTGCCCTCCAGCCCTGAATTAGAATCCAGACAGAAGCATCCAGCTTGGAGTGATATGAGATCTGGATGAGCCAGGAAAGGGTAGAAGAGACCTATGTAAGCAAGGAAGTTTATGACCTTCCAATAATCTACTCTCTGTACTATATCCGAAGTACAGCAAGGGGGAGGGGGTAGGGGGATGGACGGACACAATAATGCACTTAGGGCTGTCAACAAGAGATGCTCCGAGTTTAAGCAGAAATTAATTCAAGGAAGTCCAGTGATTCATTTTATATAGGTCAGACCACATGACCACAAAGGCCCCTTACAGCATGGGTCGGCAATTATTTTGGGTGGAGGGCTGCTTAGTGAGTTTTGGCAAGCTGTCGACGGCTGCATGGGTAGCCCCGCCCCTTGACAGATGCCCCACCCCCTGGTCGCCATCTAGGGACTGGAAGTCCCCCCCTTGCCCTCTGACCCTTGCCACCAGAAGTCCCTCCCCTTGCCCCTGGAAGTACTCCTTCAAAGAGGGTTTGCTATCTTAGAACTGGAAAAAAAACAAACTATGTACAAAATATCAAATACCCATAATATTATATTTTAATTCAATTAAAAAAATATTTTTGTCCTGATACCTGTGTGTTTGTGCTTTGTGTGTAGAAGTGATTGCATAATAGCTCAAAATGTAGTCTTACTCTTGTATAGTGTGTGTGTGTGTGTGTGTGTGTGTGTGTGTGTGTGTGAGTGTGAGTGTGTGTGTGAGAGAGAGAGAGAGAGAGAGAGAGAGAGAGAGAGAGAGAGAGATTGTATCTGGAGGGGGGTGTGGGTGGGGTTTGCAGGAAGGGCGGGCCCTGCTCTTCCAGGAGCCTGCTGTAGTTTCCACTGGGTCCTACTGCCCCTGGCTCCTGTCACTTTTGACAGGAGCCAGAGGCAAATGAATATTAATTTTCAAAAAATGTCTATGGGTCCTACAGGCTGGACAGAATGGCTTGGCAGGCCAGATCTGGCCTGTGGGCCGTATTTTGCCCACCCCTGCCTTACAGCCTTATATTTATGAATTAAATGCTGACAGCTTAATGAAATGGAAACACCCGGTTTGGCAGGAAATAAAGGTTGGGGCCACCCATAGGATGACAGTCTAGGGAGGTGGCGGGGATGAGACATGCCAATCTATTTACTGGAGTCACTGGAAACAACACAAAATAAGATTATTAAGATTTTGGGGGACAGATTTTTATGTTTGGATTTTTCTCCTTGACCTACCAGCTATTCCAACCTCCAAACATTTCAAAACACAATCATTATTGCAACTGAAACAAAGCATTTGTGTGCCATGCATTTAAGGCTGGTGAAGAAACAGGAATCATTGGAAGACAGTAAACAATGCACAGCTCAGCCGTGGGAGTGAAGAGGAAGTCAAAATGTATTCAGTGTACTGGCTCACTGTGACTTGAAAAAGAGTCAGTGGTAAGGGGGGCTGCATTTAATACGTGCTACCATATGTCTTATTCAGATGGGCTGTACTAACTTATCTTTGTGGCAGTTTCCTCTTCAGCATGTTTGCCCAATGTGGGCCATGTGTTTTATAGTCAGAATCAGAGTTGGTACCACTGGAAACCAACTACGACGCTGATTAAGTGCTGAGTATGTGCTGCTTTTGGCAGCACTTTAATGATAGACAGTGTATTTAGAGAGATTTCTTTGTGGGTGGTTATAAGACAAGGGGCTTTTTACCCCCATGCCAACTGGGGGAAAAAATCGTTTTGTATTTGAATAAATATGGTATTTGAAGAGTGACATTAAAGCTAGTAAAAAAGCAACAGGTGTTTATTAGAATCTCAAAGCTCAGAAAGGAAGTTGGATATTTTTTTAAAGGAACACAAGGGAGTAGTTGGGATGATGGCACTGCAAGTGCCTTTTAAATTATACTGTAATATTCTATTATACTATTTTAATTAACTGATAATAGCAAATAATATTTGGGAGCAGGATAGCTAAATAATCTAAAAAGCAGGCTTCATAGGCTTCCTTAAAGGGTATTCCCTTTATTTATTTGAAAAAGGAAATGTTGCTCTATGCAGAGATAAAAAAGGAAAACTCTCAGTTTGTTTGAAACCCTAAAAGCATGACAAACGGAAGAAAATGCTGATTGAAGAGAAAATAATTTTAAGAGCATCTACACTAAATATTCATTACTTGTATTTCCATTACCTTTAACTGAATTCTAACAGCAGTAAAAATATAAGCCATGTTATTTTCTAGCAGTGCTGGCTTTCTTCATTTAGCAGGCAGTTTTCTGTTTGTTGAATAGATGTTTTAACATTTATTTTTAAGAAAATCTCAAACTCAAGAGGATTTTTTCATGGTGTTAGTTTACAAAAAAAATCAAATCAACAATATACAAATTATAGGTGCTCTTGTAAGCTTAAATAATAACAAAACAAAAAACACCCAACTCCTTCCCTCTTTTAATGGAGTATACTCTGCGGCCAACCTGCCCCACAAAGATGTTTAGGGTCTGGAGAATAATCCCCTCCAAGTTATAATTACAGATATTAAAACAGGTTTTTAACAAAGATGACAGCATGCCCTACAAAAGAACACGTATGTATGATCTTACCTATCCCTTGTTGCTTTAGCAAGTTTGTCTTCTGATTTTCTGTCATGCGTCTCTAATCCCAACATGAAACTTCCTCGCCCAAGCTGGGCTTCCGACTGTTCTAACTTTTCAGACAAATCAAAGACTTGGCCAGTGGTATAGTCAGCATTCTGTAGGAGAAACATGCCATTAAATATAGTAGCCATAGCTTAAGTCACGTTGGTATTTAGGTACCATATATACAAGGAAACAAACCTATCCTTAAGTGTAGGTAATGCTGATATCATCCTACCAAGGCCTCTCTAGCTCATCAAGAAAGACAACACAAACTATTTGTATTTAAGACTCGTAGAGCTAAGGGTATGATGAACAATGAACAATTACATTGGGATGGTGAGAGTTCTTTGCTGCTCTTGAGCTGCCCCAGAATAAAGCAGCAGTGGTCCCAGTCATTTTTGGCCAGGAGAGGTTGTACAAAATGCGCATTTACAGGAAGAAATCTTTAGTTTTTGAAATAATCTTAGAAGAAATAGCTGCAAATGAAGAGTGCTAAGCACTTTCTCTGAAATGAAACAGAGTAAGACATGGCAGCATTGGTGAAGGACGAGGCAATATTTCTATTATAATCTTATTTTAATTGTTTAATTTGGTGTCCATGAAAACAGTGATATACTAAAAGATATCTAAGACTAGAAGTGAAAAAAACCCATCAGAATTTAATTACGATTTGTTACCATATCTAATTATGATACATACTACTAAGAGAAAAATTAATGTTCTAAAATGACTAAGATTTCTAGTTTTGAGAAATCACTTGTATGAGCACAGACCAATCCTTGCCTATACAGGTAGTAGTACACTGATGCTAGAGCTGCACCAAGTAAAAGTATAGCCATGCTTTTGCCAGTTTGAGGGGTACTACTAAAATTATGCTTTTTACCCAAGCCACTGTTTATTGTATTACAGAACCATAACATACAGCCTACATGACAGTCAGCATTTGAGTAGCATCAGCATGGAATCCTGGCTTCTGGCTTAGCACTCTCCTGCTTTTGTTGGTATAAAAAAAAATACCCCTTATGATTTACCTTATTTCATAAGCTGTTACTTCTATCAAAATAAGTCACTTCACTTACAGTATGTGTTCATTATAAAAGAATCTATTTAGATTGCCCATCTTTCAAAAAATTGGGTTTAAACTTGGATCATTGCTTTCAATCATTTCAAATACCTTCTCTTCATTATCTCTAGTATTCATTATGAATTCTGCATGCCATTTGTAAACTAATAATTTGTAAATAGCCAATCTATTAGTATTATTCTCTTGTATGTCAGTCAATATTCCTCTAATTTTATGGTGCATATTTTGGTAAGTCAATGTAACCATTCCAAAAGTTTCAGTGGTACCTGAAAAAGACTTATATTTATAGTGACCCAATGGAATATTTTCCTCACCCCCAGAAAATATACAACTAAACTAGACGGATATGGAATTATGTGGTTTACCTCACTCTATTAAGATCTTATACTTCAAGAAAAATTGCATTATGAAAAATATTTTTTTAATGTACTTGCCCTTTTGACAGTAGACCCGCTATCATCACTCCCAGGAATGTTTTACAATGACATAAATAATACAGAAATAGGGCTAGAAGGGACCTCAAGAGGCCTTCTAGTCCAACCACCAGCCTGCGGCAGGAGAAGTTGGATCAAACCTGCAACCATGGCATTATTAGCATCATGCTTTTACCAACAGAGCTAATCTGTACTTTGCAGCCATGATTTTTAAATTGTAGCAACCTTTATTTTTTTTATTTTTCCACCAAAAATAGCCCACCTCATACCCATTTCTCCTTCCTATTCTCCAATCCCTACAAAAACTCACTAATGTAAAAATCTGTTGTTTTGAACAGTGACTGAGGGATGGGATTTTTGCTCTACTGTATGAGTAACCTGAGGCGGGCAATTATTTTGAGCGGAAGGCCACTTACTCAGTTTTGGCAGGCTGTTGAGGGCCGCATGGGTAGCCCCGCCCCCTGACAGGTGCCCCACCCCTTGACAGGTGCCCCACCCCCTGGTCACCATCTTGGGACCAGTGTCCC